GGTTTTCCAGACAGATGGGAAATAAATCCTGTGAAAATATTCCAAACACTCCTTAGAGGGTTGGTCCACCCAGATTATATCACATTATTTATTACTTACCACTGCTGGCATCTCTGTCTATTCAGTACATTTACAGTTTCCCAGGACATTGTAAATTCCAAATAGACTTCATGGATATTAATTAATAGGCTCAATATGACTTTAAGTCTAATAATTAATATTATTAGAATTACTTAGGATTATTATTATTATTATTATTATTATTATTATACCAGTATGAAATTCTCATGAGATGATTGAGTTTGTTATTGGGGTATTTACTGAACATGCTGCATAGCCTACTTGCTTTTTGCTTTGAAACAGAAAAGTTGTTGCAGCTTAACTATAAATAATGTTATGACAGCTATAATAATATTATCTATGCTGTTATGATAAACAGATTTAAGCAGTTTAAGAGCAGTTTTCAAAGAGTTATTATTGTGGAAAGTTTTATGCCTTTTTATTGTTCCTCTTTTTGCAGCCTAGGAAGCTAGCTAGCTAATTAGCTAGGCCATCTACGCAGGTAGCTAGGTTGCTAACAACGCTGTCTTAGTAAAACTGTTGTAGGCCAGGCTACAACTACAGGATGTTGTTTCAACCAGTTGAATGACTTGGTTTGGAGCTTTGGTTAAAATGATGCAACACAACATTTTAGTGGCTGTGTAGCTGTAACTTTTTAAAAGCCGTTGAATGCCTAAGACCAATAAATGGTCATATTCTAACATTTTACCTTCAAATGTTTTAGCTGGCATTACACTACAAATTAAATTATTGTGTTACAAATTAGAATTTTGGGTATACAATAATTTCTTTCCAAGGTATTTATTTTTATTCCTGCCATTATGTGACTTTCTGCTCTGGTATTAATAACTTCAACAAGAACCTCTTGTATTTTGTTTGGTTTCAGTATGAAGCTAACCAGAGCAACCTTTTTGTCATTATATTAATCACAGATGAAGGGAAGTCGACAAGGGTGTGTATTTGGGTCACGGTTGGTTTGAATTTCCTTAAAAGTATCTTCTAAGTTAACATGAAAAGCTTTCATCAGGAAACCACATTTGCACAATGCAAGGTGGGTGTGCTGGACTAAAAAAAAAACTTTCCCGTTGCATTTGGACCAGAATCACGCAAGAACCAGTGTGGATCTAAATAACTGAGAAAGAATTGGATTGTAAGTATTGTTGCTAGCATGAGGTAACTTTGCTGCTGTTGCGCAGAAATTTTCCCCAAATACTCTTCTATTCTATTATGTCGAAATCTCTTTGTAAACTTAAAAAGTGATGTACTCTGACTGTGATGTTTGTAAAATTATGAAATCTTTGGCAGATTTTTAAACATTTAAGTTTGAATTTAGAGCTACACATTTTTAAAACTGAGAGCCTCTGGTCTCCAGATGATATCGGGGCCCTTCTGGGACCCATATGGGTGGATCTTAAATTGTACACAAGCTTGGTATAATGTCAAGGTTTTGTGATCAGGACTTTTTCCTTTTATACTGTGAAATTTACGCTCCGCAATTCAACAAATGAAAAAAAAAAAAAGTCAGGGGTGGAACTCTAAAAAGAAAAATGCAAACGCTTGGTTTTGTTATTTATATATGTATTTTTGCTATGTGTATGTAAATTGGGTGGACTAATCCTTGAACCAAAGTAGGCAGCTCAAACAGAAATGACTCCATAAGGACTGAAGGACGTGCATTACTTGATTTGGCATTGCCACAAAAGGAAGATGGAGCATTTCTTCCAGGACCTACTAAACCACCAGGCTGAGACGTTTCTCATTAAAACCAAAAGTCCTGTTCTGTCGTACAGTCTGACCTGAAGCCATCATGCATGATGGCTTCAGGTCGCTCTTTATTTCTACTAGCAGCAACGTGACTTTTGCTTGCATTCGATAATCTCTCAAACAGAACCCGCCTTCCATGACCAGTTTATTTATTACACATTCAGACATGTTTTTATGATTCACAGCGAGTTTACTACCGAGGGAATGAACTGAGTCAGCACTCATTTCATTCAGAGTCTAATCATTTAGACTCTGATTAGCCAATCAGAGTCTAAATGTTTTCGTGGAGTTGGGAGGTTGGATTTTTTTTTTCTGTTGTTGTTCAGTCATCTTTGTGTTCCATGTCAATAAAAGTCATTAAAAATGTTTTACAAACATGGATGCTGTGGGATTCTTCTTCAACACGTGTGCCAAATGTTTTAAGAATTTTTTTATAGACTTTAACTGTCAGTTGTGTCCTAACACACAAGCTGTTGATTTATAAAGTTCAAGGTACAGGCCTTAAAAACTTGGAGAAATCGTTACAAAATTTAACTATAGCTTGTAAACCAGTGGTTCTTAACCTGGGTTCGGCGGAGCCTCTGCCGCGGAGGTAAAGACATACTGTGTAAAGTCGTGATGACGCCCCGCTTTGCCATCACTTGCTGCAGAGGATCACGTTACATTGCTTGTAATGCGGAGGAGCACTGATTGAAGGAGCTCCACTCTCAACATGGATTTGAACTTGTGTCTTTAATTACTTCAGCAAAGCTCACAGTTTTTAACAAATTCTATAGTCTAAATCTGCTCCTTAGTCGCATCTTTTTGGGGTTGCTACTGCCTCTAGTGGCGTGGGGGTGGTAATACAACTAATATAATTACATTATATTAGTTGTATTACCACTAATATAATGGTGGTAATACCCCATTATATTAGTGTATTACTAATATAATACACTAATTATATTAGTAATTGGGGGGGCGGGGAGGAATCATAACCCACTACAGAAGGGTTCAGTGAATGCACATATGAAACTGTGCATTCACCGAATGTACAGTTTCATATGTGCATTAGGCGGTGTATAGACATCGTCTATACTACCTGGAAATTAAGCTGTTGGCATGTACTGACAGACTGTTGCTGTCAGACAGCAACAGCCTGATGTGTTCCTTCATCTTCATGATGGTATTTGTTCTCTAACAAACAGCGGTGGGCAACTCCAGGCCTGGAGGGCCGGTCTCCTGCAGCTTTTAGATGTGTCTCTACTTTAACACACCTGAGTCAAATAATGAGGTCGTTAGCAGGACTCTGGAGAACCTGACTGCACTTAGGAGGTGATTCACCTGTTGGATTCCAGTGTATTGAACCAGGGAGACATCTAAGAGTTGCAGCACACCGGCCCTCCAGGACCAGGATTGCCCACCCCACAGAGCAGAAATGATTCATGCAGGCCAGTAAAACATTTAAAGCAGCAGTATTATGTTTTCCAGCCGCATAGTGCAATTTATAGCACTATCAAGTAACTATGCTGCTTCAAGTTCAATGAAATTGCTACATCAAATATGACTTAAAAGAAATTTGACTTCAGATTTTAGCATCTTGAAATTGGGCTTCTGTCTCTTTAAGACACTCCTGCTCTTTCTGAAACTCCGCCTACAGGAAGTCATCAAAACATGGCTCTGCTATTAACCCTTTAACAACTTTTTTTTTTTTTTTAACCAACGTTGCACTGAGACGTAACTGGCAGAAGCACAGTTCCACCAGGCGTTTGCTAATTGCTGCTGGCTAGTCTGAAGGAGCTGAGTGGGGGAGGCAGAGATAGGCACACCCAGGCGTTTTGCACAGTTGAATGGTTGCCACAGGAGATTCATGGATTTCTCAAACATCCATGAAAGAATCAAGGCAACGCTCCAGGTATGTTTTTGATGTGGGAATAACATTATCACCTGATGGAAGCTTTAAAAAGTTAGATACTTTTTAAATAACATTGCCCCTTTAAAATGGATATATCCACAGTTGTATTTATTGTGAATTTTACAGAAGAGGATTAAGGCCACTGGAAAAAAAGAAAGGAAGGCGGTGCTTCTACAGTAAGTGTTGCAGCATTTAGGCGAGGTTACAAAAACACTGAGGCCTGGACCAGTTAAAAACAGAAACGCAACCCTCCACATAACAAAACGGGCCTGATGGCCTGTTATGGCCCATTTAGCCCAGTTAGCATTAGCACCAACATGTGCATGTTTTCTTTCTAACCGCTAATGTTTTTTGCATCTTTCCAGCTGTTGAATGATTTTTATTGGTCTGTAGCCGCTTGGCAGCATTTGACTTCATTTGTGATTATGTTGTGGTTTCTTTAATGTTGCAGTGTTTCAACTCTGCCCAACTCTTTGTAGAGTCTAATAGCTTCTCTTTGATATATTAGCCCTTTTTACTACAACCATCTTGGCTGGAAAGCCTTTTGGAAGGCTTTCCAAAAATATTCACACCCTTATAGATGTATTTTTTTCATCTTTTGTTACTTGTCAGTTCACTTCCTTGGGATTTTACTTACACAACAGAGTGCGACGTTGTGATGTGGAAGGAAAAGGATTGATACTTTTCAAACAAAAGACTGTAAATATTCAGCACCATTTACTCTGATATCCCTACATAAAATCCATCCATCCATTTTCTTTACACCCTTGTCCCTTAGTGGGGTCAGGAGGTGCTGGTGCCTATCTCCAGCTAACATTCTGGGTGAGAGGCGGGGTCACCCTGGACAGGTTGCAACACAGAGACACACAACCATGCACACACACACACACCTAGGAGCAATTTGGAGGGGCCAATTAACCTGACAATCATGTTTTTGTACTGTGGGAGGAAACCGGAGTAGCCAGAGAAAACCCACGCATGCGCAGGGAGAACATGCAAACTCCATGCAGAAAGACCAGGGCCGGGAATTGAACCTAGAACCTTCTTGCTGCAAGGCAACAGCTCTACCAACTGCACCACTGTGCAGCCATGCATAAAATCCAAAGTGATCAATTTCCATTAAATCCTCTAGTTAGTAAACTTAGACTAACTTTAGCTACATTAGCTACAGTACATCCATGTATATCCATGTCTTAGAATAGCCTAGTCCAAGTCTGAATCAGAAGTGAAAAAAGTGGATCAGTGATCCTGACATGAAATATACAGAAAAAAAAAATCAAGACATGTTTCCAGTTTTTTTATTAGAATTCTTCAATTTACATTGGAAAAAATGAGGTACTGTGTCTAAAAAACAAATGACAACAATCTGAAGGCTAAAGTAAATAAGACATCTTAGATGTGTGATGTGACTGTAGAAACAGTAAAGCTGAGGGAGGGGCTCAGGGGTTTAGGAGGCTCAGGGGGTTGAAGGGGTTTTAACGGTGTGGCGATGAACCAGTGAGGACAAGCAGCTGTTACGGACCAGAGATCGCTCGAGGAACCAGCTGCGCCTCGATGCAAAACATCCTCGCTATCTTTGTGGCCGTTGAGCCGAGACAGATGAAAGCAACGCTGTAGAAATGCAAAACTAAACTACGGGAAGATACCAGAAGATTCCACCACATTGATTTCACCTGTCAGACAGAGCGGCCACGCAGACGTAAAAGGTTCTCATGACCGAGAAGGATTTCAGTTTAAACCAAATAAAAACGGGCATGAGTAAAAATTAAAAAGTGTTTGAACTTATTAAAAAAAAAAAAAAAGCAGACACACTGCACCTTTTTAACCAAGCAAATAAACATCAGCCAGCCTGTGCGACCATGTTTTCATTCTTTCATGCTTTTAGGTAAAGACTGCTGGAATGAGTTACACACTTTTACACCATCGGTTACGTCTTTCAAGACCTACAGCGAAATAAAATGGTGTGACTTCAGCCAGAACATCAGGAACTCCTTCGCAACCGCGCACCGCCAAATTTCAGGGCCGACACTTCCCCTCCCCCGACTCCAGACTTGACTTTTAGTGTCAGAAAGGAGTGCAGGGAGTGTGTGTGTGTGTGGGGGGGGGACTGGGGGGTGGAGGGAGGAGGGTAAAGGTGAGGAGAGTCCAGAGGAGAGGAGCTACATGAAAGGTGGTGCTGTCCGGTACAGGTGTGGAGTTCTCGTTACACGTCCAGCTCGAAGCCCAACCCCAGCTTGTGTCCACCTGCGTTGAAGTTCTTCCCGTCGATGAGGGCAGAGAGGGTGAGCTTCACGCCTGCAGACACACCACAACCACAGGTCTCCAGCAGCGTCCAGCACATGTTAAAGCTCATGTGTTTTTAAAAATGAAGGCATGAAGCGGCAGTAGCTGCAGCTACACACAAACAGAAAAGCTTAGAAATATCATTTTCCAATCATTGAACATATGGACTTGTTAAACTCATGAATCCAGATGTATTTTTAAACTCGTGCTGTTCAGTTTCAGCACTTTTTCCACTTTTTAACCGAGTAGAGCAAATATGAAAAGAATCCAGTACGACTGTGAAGACACTTAGAACTTAAAACTTTACATTTTCAGTGCTTTATTTTTGTTGATTTTTTTTTTCAGCCAATTAGGTGAAATAGACGCTAAACTTGTTGCAGAAGATTGGGCAAACAAGAAGCAAAATAGTTGATTTAAACAAGCATCGCTTTGCACCACTTCACTTCACAATGTCAACTCTGCAGCCAAAATGTTACACAAGATTTATTTTCATCACTTCCTGTTCTTAATGTCTCTAAGGTGAATTGATATTCCATCTTTTCCTCACTTCTGTTTATATATTTGGATTTTTGAATCCCATTAAACTTGTGAAGTTTTCAGCCTGACCTTTTTGATCGATAACACTTTTTCAATATATGTAATAACAACTCGAGTGTTATAACGTCACAATTCACCTCCAATGTTCTAATCTTATTTTACTGAAAAACATGAAACTTGCTGCTATTTTAGACATCAACTATTTCATTGATTGTTCTGAAAATTTGGCAGCTTTCACAGATTTTTCATTTTACCACTTAAACCTTTTTATAGACTATTAGAAATACAGTAAAAGATGCAAATATCAATTAATTAATTTACTTTTTAAAATAAGGAACATTTTATTGGACACAAGAACATTAAATTGCAACAGCCTGACATTCATGAATGTGAGCCAGGTGAAGCTATGACTGCAACTGGAGGCATTTTGGGTAAAACAGGGAAGATTATTTTATTCAAGTGCAAAATGTATATTTATTTTGTACAGCTTTGGCTTAATTACTTACTCTAAATGTGTTGTTTTTCAGCAAATTGCCTTTATTTGAGTCTGTATAATCGATTTGTAAATTGGTTGGCAACTAATTGAATAATCGATTCATCACGATTAATCGTTTCAGCTCCAGAAGTAATACACTTTCTTTTGTCACTGCAGTCAGTCCCCTCTCTCTTGGCAGAGGAAAAATGTTCAAATCTTCGCCCAGATAAGATCGTGAGAATCGGCCGATCGCATATCACCCAAAATGAAGGAAATCGGTTCACTGAGATGAAGATGAGTGGAACTAAATACACTGCAGTACTGGACTAGAACCTGTTACAGGCTGCAAAACACTAAGTTAATTAAATTTTGTGGTTTTAATGTGACAAAATAAGAAAAAGATCAAGGGGTGTGAGCAATTCTGTCAGTAGATGAAAACTGAAATAGACTTTACACCCCCGGTTACAAAACTTGTTTCTACACAACCTGAACATGTCAACCAAAATTCCTGGGCTGGTCAGAGCTGCCCGGTTCTGAGCCGGAGCTGCCCGGTTCTGAGCCGGAGCCGCCCGGTTCTGAGCCGGAGCCGCCCGGTTCTGAGCCGGAGCCTACCTTGTCGAAGGCCCTGGGTGTAGCCGAGTCCAATCAGGCTGGCATTGTTCACTTTGGCCTGAGTGTGGAAACATAATAAGCTGTGAACCAAAAACAAACAACGACAAGAGGTTGAAAGCCTTCGCCAGAGAGAAACCAGAGCACTCACAGACAGAGCGGTGTCCTTGTCCAGCATGTATTTGCCTGCGATGCCGAAGCGGGTGTTGTTGCTGCCAGCAGTCCAGGCCAGGGTGACCGCCATGTCCAGCTTGTCGTCCACCCTATGGTAGATTGAGCCGCTGAACTCGCTGCCTTCGTTACTGAGAGAGAAGAAGGAAGAAAGCGTTGGGAGACGTGTCGCCGAGGCCCAGACCCAGTGAACTCGAACCAAATACTCACACGCAGGCGTGCACCTGAAGGTCCGCAGCGTTGAATCCCACGGCAAAGTTGTGGTGGCTCGGTTTGGATTTGGTGGCATCGTAGAGTGTCTGGTAGCCGCCCAGCAAGCCTTCGTAGCCCAACACAACAGAGCCATGGACGATGGGGCCCGCGAGGTCCAAGTCGCAGGCCAGGTTCATATTGTGGCACTTGTAGCCCGTCTTCAGCTTGCCAGTTTTCTTGCTATAAAGTCAAGCAGCAACTACTCTTACTCTTCATTACAGAACTGCATTAAAACCATATATTTACAATCTTACTGTATAAAAAGATGCACAACGGGTTTTTTTTTTCTCAATGTCAGACATTGGATCAGTTTAAACTTTTACATTTTGTAGATTATTGGGATGACAAACATGAATTTTATTTCTAAATGCCAAAACAATGACAGAATTTCTTTGGTTTCTTCCCATCAGAAGTTTACAAAAAAATTCCCACATATTTGGTAGAATTGCTAATTCAGCTTGAAATGTTTCAGATCTTCCTCCACAAACTTCTAATAATAGTTTCCTGGAATTCTGATCCATTCCTAAAGACAGGATGACCGAACTGAGACAGCTTTGTAGGTTCAGGGTTTCTCCCAGTGAATTATCAGCCTGGCGGGCCACCAGGCTTTACTTGCCACCAGCCTCCCATGTTTATCTTGAACAGGGTTCTTACACAGTAAAGACAGATGTAGCTAGGTTTGTAGTTGACATGTTGAACTGGAAGTGCCATTCCTGAACCTGAGCATTGGGCTCATGTTACTATTACTTCCACATAATGATGCCTTCTCATACACCTGCAAATTTTTGTAACTTAACATTTCTTAACACAAAAGCACAGCAGGCCCGCTGCTGGACTGATCTAGCACCCCTACCAACAGGCTTAGCAGGTTTTCTGAGGATGCCTTACCCACACACACCTTTTCCACTCTTCCCACTCATTTTCTGTGGGTCTAAGATCAAGGTTTTGTGACGTCAACAACAAAACATCGACTTTGTTTTCTTCGCGATCACTTTGGTTGTATTCTTTATGCGTGACACATCCGCCAACTTGCTACAACAACTTTGCACAGAACAAATTTTCCACAAAGCGCATCTCTGAAATTTTGCAACTATGCAGACAGTTCAGTGTGGAAAAACATGGTGGACAAGCAAGAGCTCCTCTTGGTGGAGGTTCAAAAAGACAGAGAACTTCATGATTCTGACCATAAGCACCTCCATGCTCTCAGGTGTCGCTATGTTGCAACCAAGCGGGAACGATCCAGAGTATTAACGCTGTAAAAATTGTGTCGGCCAGATTCTGCACATCTTTTTTCCCCATACGGAACGTACATGTCCAGTACGGAGGACCAGTATGTTTCCAAGCTTTAACTTCCTGGCTGATGTTGATGGTCACCAAGTTCTAACGGCTGTTCAGCCCACATGAGAACAGAACTCACATTACTGGGAAAACGTCCCATCTCTCATCTGGATGAACCGACCAGACTTGCGGCGCTCCACATTTGTCTTCCTGGTATCTTGGTTGGGTTCTTTTGGTTTCTCCATGATGTCTCACAAGGAGGCAATGCATAAAGATGTGTTCCTCCATTACAAAGTCTAAGTCTAAATGTTGACGCTTTCCCAAATTGTTAAAACGTGATTGTTTTTGTATATGTAAACTCTAACTTTGAGTTAATTTAGCAAACAGAAATAATTTTACTAATCCTAACTGACCTAAAACAGGAAAAGCTTCATCTGATGTAATGCCGACTGAGACAAAGATTGTGTCTTTTGATAAGTGTATATGTAAATGTGTGGTTTCACTCGTACGTCTTCCTGTTGAAGCAACATTTGTTAACGAACACGCAACAGGCTGCTTTTGAAAAACAACTTTGTTGCATTTTCTAATAGCTTACAGAAAAATCTGGCAATTACAACGGAGCAACTGGGCCAGGCTAAGGACTGCTTTTTTTACAATACAATAATAAAGTCGTAACAGCGGAATAAAGAGGAATAGACAGACATTTGCTAAATCGAGTCCTGCTACTGATAATAATTTGATGCAGATGTGTGAAGAGTAAGTACTTCATACTTTATCAGTTTTATTTGTAAAACTGATAAAGTATAACTCCACAAGATGCTCAACATTCCTCAGTTTAAGTTTTTTCTTCTCAAAAAAATGACAACTTCAACGCCGTAATGATTATTACAACTGTTTTCTCATAATATTATGACAATTTTCGTCTTATTGCATCTTTTTCTGGTATCATCACATCGTCATTCCCAAATTATTGCTATTTTACTCTTCTCTTATTATTACTTTATTTGACTTTTTCTTGTATTATTACAAAAGAAAAAAAAATCTGTGACAATCAATTTTGTCAAATGTATTCAGATGTCTGAAGGTGAATAAACACAATATCAGAACCTTCTTGGACTGCACCCGACCTACAGGTTGGTATGGTCTAAAGTCAGAGACAAACAAAAGCGGCCTCACCCTGTGTTTGGTACAAATGAAGTTTCCATGCCAATCTTCAGTCCTTTAGCAAGCTGAAGAGGAAAGCTTAGTGTCAGCACATTTAAACTGATAGAACATTTGCAACATTTAACAATGACTTGGGGTGGGGAGGAACTAAATAAACAACAAAAACACACACACCTTGTCCTCCACAGTCAACTCATTAGTCAATATGTTGTCTGTGTTCCACTTCTGGCTGAGGGTCACGTTATGATCCTTAACCTTGTACGTGGTCTCCAGGTTGCCGGTAGCCTTCCCTGTGTCCATGTTACTGAAGCCTGTAGTGTGAAACTCCTGCACAGCGAGAAGAAGGGGGACGAGGTAACAGCCTGGCGGAGCGCCTCAACTGTTATTATTAGAGGTTAAAAAAAAAAAAAAACCATAACTGAACCAGACCAGGAACAAGAACAAAAAACGTTAGTGGAGGGAAAAAAGAAAGGACAAATTATGTTTCAATTCCAGGGTTTTATGTGTCTGGACCTGATTTTTGGGTAACACTTTATTTGACGGGGTGTGCATAAGACTGACATGACAGTGTCATAAACATGACTCCTGTCATGAAGATGAAGGCGTTTTCATGAATGTTTACGACTGCTGTCATTAAGTGCCATTCAGTAAATAATAACATTTTGAATGCAAAGTTGCATTAAAACTTGCATTAAAAGTGTCATTATTTACCAAATGATACTTCATGACAGCAGTCGTAAACATTCAAGAAAACGCCCCCATCTTCATCACAGGTGATGACAATGAAGTTTATGATATATATGACATATGTAATGTGAGTCTTATGCACACCCTGTCAAATAAAGTGTTACCAATTTTTCTCACTAATAGCTCACAGAGCCGTATTCAGCAGCAATAACTTGTTGTCTCACTTTATCAGCTCACATTTCTACAGCTCATTAAGGTTTGTGGTTTTACGGATCTATTTTCCAGTCATTCTGACGCAGCTGAACGTTGTTCCTACAGGTCCACTGCTCATCATCAACTTTCTACCCCTAACTCGTGCTGCTTTGCAGAGAGGAGAGTCTTTCTCTTGACGTTTGCAAGCAAACCACTATTGTTCAGTCTTTTTTTCTTTCCAGTCACCAACACTAATATTTCACATGCCAAGATCATTTTTAACATGTCCTGATACACAGAACTCTAGTATTAAAAGGAAGTTGACCTTTCTTTTTCCACAACATGCACTTGAATCATTACAGTAACACCTGCACATGTAGATATTTCTGATTTCATGCAAGGAGGCGCCAGTAACAAAGCATGTACAAGAAACAGACAGAAAACTGACACAAAGTGTGGATAAAATCAAGAAAAGTAAAATACATTTTTTTTAAATATATCTTTTATACTACCACCATATTGACAACATATGTTGATGTAATAAAGCTAGAGTTAACATATGCAGACAGAAACGTTAGGTGCAAACAAAACAAGAATGATTGAAAAATGGTAATAAAATAGTAATAAAACCATTTTTTCTCCCATTGACAGAAAAGATTCAGTCAAAGAATTTAAAATATACATTTTTCCACATTTTAATTGTTAACTAGGTTGTGGCTTTTTTTTTCTTATGAAAGCATTAATTCAGATTAAATTATAGATTTTTTTAAACATTTCCTCAACAGTATTTGTCCATTCATCATATATTACTACTGTTATCTGAATATGCATAATATGTCTTAAACCGCTGGGTCTGGGTCATGCGTTTTTCTAATGTAAACTTTACTGAAAGTTTGTTTCAGTGAACTTTGCAGCATTTTGACAAAACTGGTTCTGCTTTCCTGCCGAAACCAAAGTCAAAACAATACAAACACTGATGCTTATCTCGTATTAGGTTTCTTCCTTGTTGAGACGGGCATCCCACAGATTATCATTTTCAACTCAAATTATGTTTCTCATAAAAACCCTAAGCGGGTCTTCACACACTGTTTGGTAAAAGTAGAAAGCAAATAAGATGAGGAAAAACAAACAAAAACAAAAACAAAAACAACAACAGCAAAAACTAGAAAACCTTTGTTTTTCTCAAGTTTCCACAAATTACATGGAGACAACTTAAAGAACTTGCTAACACTGCCTTCCAGTGGCAGAAATATGTAACTACACACATTGCATACCTGTCTGCATGGAATTTTCCTAAAGCTGTTTAAGATTATAAAGGTGTTTAAAATTTAGAATTTCAGTTCTCCACAATAACTATTTCCTCGTGACATAAAATGTGTATTAATTAATTTTGATCTCAATTAAATGATGTATCTCACATTACTGAATGTTTTCCAAAACCTTAAGTAATACGAGTTGGAGAGGCTAATGTGGGCAGAAAGGGTCTCCTGTAGCAGTCTAAATTACAGCAAATTTGAGGAAGCCTCTGACTGAAGACAGACAAATAAATATGTTTGATTCTATGTAACCATACAGGAACCAAATAAAATAAAACACCTCAGATAAACGCCAAAAACAAACTTGTTTATCATTGAGGGTGGAAAAAAGTAAAAAGGTAAACAAGAAAGAAAAAAAAAATCAAAGTTCTACTTTCTGTCTTTACTTTTTGTCACACTTAAATGTTTCAGATCATCAAACTAATTTGAATATCAGACAAACACAACATGCAGGTTTTACATTAGGATTTTGTCCACCGTTTTTTTACAGAACTGGTTTTATTCAGCCAAACTCGACGGTTTTAAAGCAAAAAAAGCCTAATGTTAGTCCAGACCAGCCATTTCAGTGGTGAACTTTCTAAAGCCTCTTCCTTCTGTTTTTCTCTTGGGACTGAATCCCCTTTCACTGCTTCACTTGCAAATAAACACACAGATTGCATCATGACACAATCAAGGACGGCCATCAGGAACTAGATGAACACGTCTGCAACTCCCTGAACCCGTATATCACTACAGACTGAGCTATGAACATGTTTCCATGATTTCACCAGGATTTGTTATGGAACAGATTTGATGGAGAAATAAAAGATAACAAGACACTGGAACCTGAGTTGACATTTTTTAACTTGGAGAAGATGAAAGAAGCAGAAACACACAGAGTCATTTTATAGCATAAGCAAGTAACTATGTTAAGTTCCGCTACATATCAAATATAATCAAAAATTGACTGTCTCTTTAAGAAATCCCTGCTCTTTCTGAAACTCTGCCTTCAGGAGGTCGTCACAACATGGCTCCTCTGTTAACCTTTTAACGTGTTTACCAGTGTTGCTCTGAGAAGTAGCTCCTGTAATGAGCTCAGCTGATGCTCAGTTCCACCAGGTGTTTGCTAATTGATGCTGGATAGTCTGAAGGAGCTGAGTGGGGGAGTCACACCAAGTTTTCAAGCGTGGAAGCTTGGGAACAGCAGTTCTGTCTTTGAAGGCGGGGCTAGGTCCACCCAGGCGTTTTGCACAACTGAATGATTGCCACGGAGATTAAAGAATTTGCCAAACATGCGTGAAATAATCAAAACAACACTTCAGGTAAGTTTTTGCACTTTACACGATGTAAAGTGCAAAAAAGTTGATTTTGCAGAATACTGCCCCTTTAAGAAACTTGTTAGTAGGAATATTTTAGACGTCTAGAGGTTTCCCTTCGAACTCTATATGTAAGGAAGGATAAAATGCTCCTCTATTCTTCATATTATGCTCTGAGACCACAACTGACAGAAACAAATTTGAACATTACAGACAAAAAGAAACGTAAAAGAAAATATGAAACGGACAGTAAAAGCAAAGGATGGGGTGAATGGAGCTCTGCGCGACACGGTGGGGGAGATGAGGAGTGAGCCGCCAGAGCGGTCGGTTAGGTTCGGGACGTCCATCTTACCATCTACGTTAGAGTATGAGCAGTCCGGGGCGGCAGCATGGAGACAGAGCGGCGGTTAGGAAAGGAAAGGCAGAGAGACACACGACCAATCACGGACCGTCGAGTTTCTCTGCGGGTGAGGTCAGGTAAAGCAAAGCAGCTGGAACGCCGGCGGCGCTCGGCATCCTGGGAAACCTTAAAGCTCAGATTTACAGCGATTACTGGTGCTTAAAGGAGCGTGAAGCGGAAGATGTGCAACAGCAACTCTGCAGGTGTCTGAGCTTTGGTGATCGGACGGCTGGAGAGCAGCAGGATGAGAAAGGAGAAATGGAGCAAAGAAAAGGAGTTCTCACCACGTCACTCTGAGATCTGGTCTTCAGATCTATCTTCACAGCCCCAAAACCTGTTGGGTTCAAAACACACGCACAGTGAGCAGGAGGACTCCACTGCAGGTATTAGCCAATCGAATGTCACTGAGAAGCTTCACCAACACCAGGGTTTCTGTAGGTTTCACCAACTCAATTTTAAGACTTTTTAAGACCAGTGTGAACGAAATTTAAGACCTGCATCAGGACAGAAACGTACAAAAGACAATGGCATGTCTTATTTATTCTGGTAGTGCCGAGTTTTTTTGCACAGAATGCATGTAACAGTGTATTGATATATTGGTATATAGCAAAGGTATATTAGCAGCTAATTAGCAGTAGCCTCAACCATCTCAAGTCACAAAACGGAACGGAAGCAACTGAAACGTTTGCCTGACAGAAAAGTACTTTTTATATTTATTTATTATTTTTTATGGGGTATTTTTTGGCTATTGTGGCCTTTATTTGAAAGTGATAAGACAGGAAGTAGGTACACAGAGAGAGGGAAGACATGCGGCAAAGGTCACCAGGCCGGGAATCGAACCTGCGACGGCCGTGTCGAGGACTAAGACCTCCTTATGTGGGTTGTGCTTAACCCCTGCAGCACCACAGGACCCCGCCTGACAGAAAAGTGCAGCAAGAAAAATTACGAGATTAAATAGTTCTGCCACAAAAACATTTAAGATTAACATACTTAAGGCTAACTTGCATTTTTTCAGATGAATTTAAGACATTTAGTACCAAATGTCTTAAACGGTACATTAATATGGATTCAGTCAAAATGTATCTAAAATGAATTTTAGATGCATGAATTTAAGACTTTGTAAGGATGGACACTCTCAACACTAGTACCAACAATAAATTGACTTAAGTGAACAAATCCGGTTTAAGTATTCACTTCCTGACTGTGAAAAAGTCAACACACTAAATATGACGGAATTCTGCCACTCTAGTAACTAACGTGTTTCCAAACTTCATGGATTTTTCACAAACAAAATGCTCCTGTTTGTACAAATTTCTCTCTACAGAAATAATGTACGCGTCATAACGTAGCCATGTGCGTCTGATTTTAGGAAATATAAGTTTCGTTGTCGTAGACTTTATGGTTTTCTTTGAAACACTAGTTGAGCGCTGTTATGTCATCTCCCTTCCTCCACTGGCGTCCGTAGAAAATATTTTTGTTGGGTCATTTTTGAATGGCTCCCTCTCCTAAATGATATCGTGCAAAGACATGAGCCCAGTCAGATATTTAGATCAAAGGGTCCCGGTCCTCACAGGTCAAGAATTTATTTGGATACTGGTAACCGCGTTTAAATGAGACGAGTCTCTTTGAGATGATGCACCCCGTGTTACTCAATGGAATTCTCTCTTTAGCGTCTTCTGCTACGTTCATTCAGCAGATTAGCATTCACAAGGAACAGCAATTTTTCTAGTCTGTACTACGACTCAGCGAAAAAAAAAAAGAAGGTTGCTCTCCAGAAATTCCCAGCAGGGAATAATATTTCCCTGTGGTTAAAGCATTACTCACCGTAGCCCTTGCTGAAGATGTCCTTGGCGGCCTTGCCAAGGTCCGTGTATGTAGGAGGATTATCCATTTTTTCTGACAAAGACAAAAGTAGAAAAACTGTTTAAACCACAGCTACAAAAATTATAAGTGGCTAAAGCTAAAATATTTAGATAATAGACTGATATTTTCATGGTTTAATTACAGCCTCCTCATCCCAAAATAAGACAAAAGGTAAAATTGTAAACATGTTCTTCTTTTATTGCCTTTGACTTTCATAAAAATGTATTCTATTGCTGTACGTTGCAAGCAAATTTGGAATTAGTTAATTTGCTAATGCAAGTGGGTTTTAAAGGTGTTCAGATTTTGTTATCTTGGAACTATAAACCTTTAAAGACACCAAAGTGTACTTTTAGTTTCATGGATAGAGAGCAAACAGATGGTTAGATAAAACAGATGGATGGAAGGAAAGAGAGGGATGGAAAGAAGGGAAAAAAGAAGCAAGGAAGGGAGGATAAGGATGATGACAGAATGATGGATGGTGGATGGAAGCAAGGAAAGAATAAACACAAAGAAGGATAAGAGTAAATGGACAGAAGGAAGGATGAATCTGGGGCTAATTAGTGGAAGGAAGAATGAATTAAGTATATAGAGAGATAAGAAGTTGATCAATGGAGAATATAATTTCTAGACAATAGGATATGGAACTGTAAACACTTTTTTTCCCCTTTCACTGAACTTATTCAAACCTGGAATAAGTTCCAGGTCTAATCCATAATATTCCTGAGAGCCTGGGAACTGTGGGGGTCCCGTGCTTCATTCAGAGGGGTTAACCTTCATTAATACCACCTGGGATGTAGAAGAGGTTGGAACCTCCTCTGTTATCAACAGATAGTTGTAGCATCTCTGCAGGGGGACAAAGGGCAGCAGATGGGCCAGTGAGGGAGCTGAGGGGGGTTCAGCTTGCTGCTCAGGCCAGCCTGAATGAGGAGACTGTTTTGTTGGTCCCACCCTAAACCCAGTTAAACCCCCACTCAGCTGATAAAGGCCAGGATAACGCCGCCTTTCCAAATGTTTGCCCTAAAAACGTGGAAAAGCCTTCCTCCAGGGATTACGCTGTGCTTTTCATGGCTCAGCATCATTACATAAGGGACACCGTTAGCTACTGCGCTACAACGCGCTCGGAAGAAATGCAGCTAAGGCTGGAAACAAACGCGATAGTTGATACTGACGCACGCCCCCTAAAAGCCCTGCGGTGTGTTTGAGGTTCATTCGTATTGTCAAAGGCTCCTCACCTGTCCAGCAGAGCTATTAGCAACCTTATCCACAAAGCCTACAGAGGACCTTGGCGTGATGCTGCTGAGTGGATTGACAGCTAGCCTAGCTAAGCGTTGCTTTTTCTGAAGACAGGGCACAATGAAGGAGATCTACTACTGAGCATGCGCGCGCTGCCAGCGCTATCTACTATCCCATATTTTTGTTTCGCATTTTCATATATTTTCGATAGACACATCTGTCACACTAAATGTAAATTAAAACAATAATGAACAAAGCAAAACATAAAAAATATTAAGGCAACCACACAGGTATCATACCCCCTCTCGCGCTCGCAGCTGCACGCAGGCGCTGTTGTCATGGTTGCCTAGAGACACCACACACCTTGCTGGATGCTGCATTCAACATCCGCTCCTTTTTTAAAACGTCCACTCGGCATTCCACCACAGTGAGACGGTGAGGATGAACAAAAGGCACATTTTCCAAATATGTCAGGGTGGGTTTTGTATAGAACTAAATTTACTACATTTGTATGTAGCTAATTTGGTCCCATGAAGTTTATTGAAAAGAAAAAAGATTTGGAACTGTCGAACTGTCTGTTTCTGGGATGGACTGCTGACCCAGCCAGCATATATATATATATATATATATATATATATATATATATATATATATATATATATATATATATAAAACAAAAAACAAAAAAAATATGTGAAACAGAAACAGA